ATTCTTTCTCCTCCCCCTCTCTCTCTCTCTATTACACACACACACACAAAACATATCAAATGGATAGCAGATCGGGTTGTGTACTGCATCAGGGAACGATAATCCAACAAAGATTAATTTTGTTTGTATATTTGCAAACATAATGGTTGTTTAACGACGAAACTACTAGTACTGTCTAATTGATTTATTTTATGTGGTTGATAGTTGCATATTATATCCTCTATGAATTTAATGCACAGAGAGATCTAGAAAGATCACAAACTCGTAATCAGTTTCAAAACGAAAGGGATGTGTTCGTGTCAAAATTTTATACAATCGCTAGGCGTTAGGACCACTTCCCATGAATGTTTATGTACATGAATTATCAGGCGAAGATATAGTTCGATTGTTAAGAATATATTTTAGGGGTCTAATTTATATAAATAAATCAAATTAAACCAAACAAATTCAGTAAATCTTACACCAAATCAATCTAGAAAATTTTAACTAAAAATCATGTAGAAAAGTGTGTGTTTTGAATTAATACAGAAATTCCAACGTGACTCAAATTTGCAAGTCACTACAACAAAATTGGGTTTATAGGACACCTCCAATCTCTAAGTGTCCCAATAGACCGATTTATAAGACTTAATTTATAGGACCAAAACATAAAGCGTCCTATCTAAAGGCGTTGTAATAAGTTTATATGACGCTTTTGGGTGTTTTAACAAGTTTTAAGGACATTTTTAGTACAAAGTATCGCATTAGCAACTTTATATGACACTTTTGAGAAATTGTCCTATAAACTCAATTTTTTATAGGACACTTGTTTTTATATGAGATTTTTTTTCAAATAGTGTCCTATAAAGTTGATAATGAGACGCTTTATATTAAAAGTGTCCAAAAAAACTTATTACGACATCAAAAAACGTCATATAAACTTAATACAACACATTTAGATATGACACTTTTTTTGGTCCTATAAAGAAGTCTATTAGAACGTTTAGAATTTGAGAGTGTCCTATAAACCCGATTTTATTATAGTGAGCTTAAGGTTGTAAATACTCGATTGGTACTAGTGGTGGACTTGGGTATGTGTTAGGGGATGCACTTGCTCCTGCTCTGTCGTCCCGACGTAATGAGAAAAGTTACGGGTCTTAAAGTGCACTTGTTTTAAATTGATATACCTTCATAAGTTAACAGAAAGCGGTTGCAGTCTACAGGTGATGTTATTGCATATGTATTATAACCCTCAAGTTAGGATCGTTGTTTTTTTCTTTAATTTTTATTTGTAACAACAGTAGAAACGAAATAAATCACTTCGATGTTGCAGAAAGACACTTATACTTCATTTGTAACGAAACCAGACACTTTACAATTAATATTAATTTTATATTATGCTAATCATGTCGTGCACTCAGTTATAACAGGTATCAAATATCATTTAAAGCTGATATAAAGTTATGAAGAATCCTCAATCAAGAAGACTCACTCACACTCCAAACGTACAAACGAGATGTCAAAAAAATGTCGTAAATGCCCTCACCTAAATTATTGATATTTCCGTTAAACTTCAAAGCTAACCGAAGCAAGATGGCAAAATCATCATCCCAACGACTTGAGTTACGTTATGGTTACTACAGTTATAAGACGCGATAATTTTTATACGTTTATTTTTTCAGAAATTATTTGTCAGAACGTAAAATAATACCAATATTTTTTTTTCAAATATGTTACCAACTTAAATAATTTAAAAAAATAAAAATGGAAAATAAAGTGTTTTTCCCTTTTTGAGGCAACTTGTTAAGACATAAATTCAATGAATATATATGGCAAACCCCACCATAAACTAGACAACCCATGTTAATTTTTTTGATTAATCAAAGAAAATGATTGTGAAATCCATAATGATTATGGTTTACTTTCAAAAAATATTCGTTATACTGTTAATTACTTCCGTTAACGATTTCAGAAATCCGTAACGTTATAAATTAATAAATGGAAATTCGATAACGAGAGATGTGGACATGACATAAATTTAATGAGAACAAAAACCGTGTCTTGTACTTTCTTGAGTTCTGAACAGTAGAGTTTTAATGTTTTCAAGCTGGAGGCAACAACAAGAAACCCCACAAGGGTGGTGCCTTATTGGTTTGATCTTGGCTCCAAAAGTCAAAAGTACCTGGAGGTCTCAGGTTCAAATCTAAGGAGGAATAAAAATCTCATTGTGGCCACGGAGGTTCAAATGCGGTGACTCCGGCTATCTGCAAAGCAGGTGGTCGCCCTGTGATTAGTCGACTCGCATTGCGAGTTGGATATCCAAGTTAATAAAAAAACACAAGAAGAAACCTAAACTGTCATTTTTAGGAGAAAACTGTATTTCTTTTCGCATACAGACATTTTCTAATACAAGAATCGCGGTCGAAATGGAAGTAGAAACTTCATTTGAAACCCACCTGATTTAGTAGTTTGATGAGTTTTGTTTACATCAGTTTGAATTTAAACGGTTATAAAGTTATCAGTCAAATTTAAAAGAAGAGAGAGAAAATATCTGATCCAAATGAATGCTCGATGGACACATAGAAGAATTGATGGCCCTTTACATACATGCCTGAAAAGGCCAACACATGCAGGCCTGAAACCATTCACTAACACCATTACCCACACTACTATTTTCTATTTTCTTTTTTTATATAAATCAGATTCTCATCTGAATACTGACAACTTCTTCTCGATATATATATATATATATTGGAACTTTATTTTTTTCATATGGATAGAAAACGAGATTTATGAGTTCTTTATAAGTTTTTAGTTGTAGACTACCAATAACTTTCACACTGATTTCAAGTTCGATTCAAAATTATTGGGTCAGTATGTTGTTTTTGGTCTTTGGGGGTATTACAAATGGTATCAAAAACCCATTCTTGTACCATTGGGATGGTGGGGCACACCTCATCTGGTTACGGTGAGTCCTCGAGGGGGGTGTATGTAACATCTTAGGCGAATCTCACATAAGAGGAAGATTCTGGGCAGACCTGATGAAGACGTCAGGAGTTTTAAGTGGAGAAACTTGTAACAACTTATCCTTTAGAAAATGAGATATGTGGGTTCCTTATAAGTCTCAATATCGGTTATGATGAGTCCTCAACGAGGTGCTTGTAATATCTTAAGGGAATCCCACATCGTCGACTACAAAGAGAAAGATTTTGGACAGGCATGAAGAGGATGTCAGAGTTTAAGTGGTAGAGTTTGTAACAACTTTGTCTCATATAGATAGAAAATGAGATATGTGAGTTCCTTATAAACCTCAAGTTGTAAACTACCAATAATTTTTACCATGATTTTAAGTCAAAACCTGTGTCAGTTATCGTATTTTTTTTATATAAAATAAAAATGGTACCATACCAATGTCTCTATCATACATATGTGAGATGGGAGGGACCATGGATGGATGAATGATTCCTTTTTCTTGAACATTCGCCCTTTTTCCCATCATCCAACTAAATGGTTGGAAGTTATGACTCATACGTGTATTTTTCATTTCCATTTCCATTTTCATTTTAAAGTCAAATAAATGTATTCACATGTTTAATTAAATTTATAAAAAATTAGATTATTAGTTTATAGCATAAATTTTGTAATTAAATTTAGGAAAAAGTAAATAAATAAAAAACTTAATGGATTTAAGTGTTTTAAATGATTAAGTCATTGGATAATTTTTTGGAACAAATAAATCTATGGATATTCCAAAATTTGTTAAATAATTCATTGGACTTTCTAAAACTTATTAGATACATTTTTATGACATTTACAACTGATTAATATGATAAAATAAGTCAATGATTTTTTATTTTATAGATGTAAGTACTTTTTTTTGTTCAAAAAAGTTTAGGTACTTATCGTTCAAAATATGAAAGTTTATTGATTTTTTTTAGATTTTTTTTATTATTTTATTATATTAATCAGTTTTATAGGTCATAAGGATGTCTTTAACAAGTTTTAGAAAGTTCAAGTAATTATTTAATAGATTTTGGAATGTCCAAGAACTTATTTGTTCCAAAGAGTTGTTCAATAACTTAATTATTTCAAAAAATAAAATTCATTAGGGTTTTTTAGACTATTCTTTAAATTTATGATTTTTCTGATAAAAATATTTAATATAGAAATGC